CCTCCCTTGGTCCATCTCTCTGCTGCCTGTGAAGGCTTCAGAAACTCTTACGTCTTAGCATTCTATGTAGGTTGTGTTCATGAGGATTAAAAGAACAACAGTAAAGCCCATTCCGTAATACCTGGAGAAATGAGGATTCCCCAACTGCCCCACAGGCTGAACTCTAAAGAACAGCTTTGTCTTCCAGCTAAGATGCCAACGATGAAACAAGGCAGGCGAATTTGATGTTGGCGAGCAGGGTTGTATGCACAAAATAAGGACTTACACTGAAAACGACAAGCCGCATTTGAACATAAGATCTAATCCACTGACAGAGCTTTGTCTCGCAGGCCACACAGAGCCATAAGACATGATCTATACAAATACAGGAAGGCTACAGCGAAACATGCTAATTTGTACATTTAATATGCCTGTGTTGTTGTAGTATTTTTTAATTTTTAAAAATAATAGGATGAAGCCAGCAAGATGGGTCATGGGGAAAAAGGGCTTGTGGTACAAGCCTGACTCCCTGAATTCTAATTCCCAGATCCCATGGTGGAAAGAGAAAACCGACTCCTGCAAAATGTCCACTGATCTTCATGTGGGTGTCATGGCTCATATACACCTGCGCGCTCTCTCTCTCTCTCTCTCTCTCTCTCTCTCTCTCTCTCTCTCTCTCATACACACACACACACAAGCACATAAACACATTAATAGTAATAATAAATTAAGTAAAAATAATAGTATGATCTTGAAATACTAATAATCACAGGTCAGTCAGACAACTCAAATAATAAAGACTTGGCAGTTAAGGAGTTGGCTCAGTGAATAAGACCACTTGCTCAGCAAGCACAAAGATCCAATTTCAAATCCCAGATGCCCAGGTAGAAAGCAGATATGGCTACACTTGCCTGGAGCAACAGCACTGGAGGGGCCAATAACTTAGAGGACCACTTTTAAAAAGCAAAAGGACTTCAAAAGTAAAGGGCAAGCCAACATATGAGAATGTTCATGGCTAGCATAACTTGCCATTTCAACCACATGTCCTTAGCAACAGATCTTAATTTCTAAAGGGAACCAAACTGCAAAACTAGAAATACAGATGTTACCTTAAGGTGGGGCAAGACTGGAAGAAAATGACATGATTTACCCAGTAAACCATCTTGCACCCCTTGTCAGGGAAGACAGCATGCCAGATTTCAAATGTTCTTAAAAGCAGTTTGGGAGATACAGAAATGCCTTAAAACAGAATTCCTTACATATGGATCCAGATTTAACCTAACAGTTTTGTTACAATCAAATTCCTAGCTCAAAATTTCACTGTGCAAGCTTTTCCACAAGATTAAAGACAGGGGGAAGGAGAGAGAGAGTGAGAGAGAGAGAGAGAGAGATAGAGAGAGAGAGAGAACATTTATCTGTGACTTCAAAAGACCCTTGGACTGAGTAAGAGGGCCAGACCCCTAGACTCCACTCCTGTCATGTTACTTGTGTGAAATCTTTCTGGAACCAAATGAGCCTCAACTGGTTTTAGCTGATGTTCCATGTGACCAGAATTCCTTCATTGATTGTCAAGAAGCTTCCAGAGCATGAACAAGTTCCTTCTAGAAGGGCAGGAATCAGTGACATGGGCATAGAAACAAAACAAGATATGTAAAAAGCCCAGACATGGGTTGGTGTAATGGCTCAGTGGGTAAAGGCACTTGCTGGTAAGTCTGAGTCCCAGAACCTACATGTTGGACAAAAAACTTGGCAGTACATGTGGTCAAATGTGTATGGCCAGGTAGGACTGTGCCAATGTGGGCAATACAAGAGAAGACATTCAGACCTGGGGAAGATTCTCTCAAGTTCTTTCCAGTTCAGAGCTCTGGGGTATGTGAGAACTCAAAACTCGCACTTAGCCTTGAAATTCATTATAGGGCACAGTTACCAGAGCGGATATAGGTGGAGTGCATTTAGAGGCACATATATCAGCTTAATACATACTTTTCAATATTGAGACATAACCTATGTGACTCCTTTGCTCCATACAGAGTTACAGGTGTGCCCAGTAGTTACATGTCGGTCCTAGAATCACACTGCTTGAATCCACACCTCTCACCCCAAGCCACTCCCACTTTTGTGAGCTTGGTCAAGCCTCCTGATCTTTTCTGAGATTGTTTCCTTATTTGTAAAACAGTGATAGCAAGGGGCCTCTCATCTTAGAAGTGCTGTGAGTGGGAAATGAATTGGTGTGCATAGGAAATAAATTGGAGTGAATAGGAAATGAATTGGTGTGAATAGGAAGTAAATTGGTATGAATAGGAAATGAATTGGTATGAATAGGAAATGAACTGGTGTGAATAGGGAATGAACTGGTGTGAATAGGAAATGATCTGGTGTGAATAGGAAATGATCTGGTGTGAATAGGACATGAACTGGTGTGAATAGGAAATGAATTGGTGTGAATAGGAAGTAAATTGGTATGAATAGGAAATGAACTGGTGTGATAGGAAATTACTTGGTGTGAATGGGAAATGATCTAGTGTGGATAGAAAATGAACTGGTGTGAATAGGAAATGAATTGGTACATGTCAAGTGCCTAAAAGCATGGAGGATGGAACCAGGGTTCTTCAAATGCCCACTCTATTATTCTCCAAACAAAATTGACTGGGTCCTGCAAATTTCTATGTAAGAACCTCAACCAGGTCTATGTATTTCTTCTTTCCCCTTCCCAACATTAAATGTTTTTTCCTTGCAAAAGAAAATTATTTTCCATCCTCAGGACAACTCATCTAACTTATAATCTGCCTGATACAAGTCCTTCTAAAATTAAGTGCATGTTCTTTACAACCCCCAACTCAGCAGACAGCACAGGTCTCTCGCTGGTATGAAGGTTGACATCTAGCCAGTTGGCTTGCTGTGTTGATAAACATTTGAAAGATACAACCAATTTCCAATTTTAAATATTAAAAGGATACTTCATATTTTTAAGGCCCAAAGCTATAAGGCGGGGTTAGGCCCTTCTCACTCGTGAACCAAAGGCTGGTAAGACTTGAAGTAATGAGCAAGAAAAGGTACTCAGGAGAGAGAGAAGCTACTACTAAAAATAGAGCCCACTCGGTGGGGAACTAGCTGGGAAGAGGCCGTGCATGGCTGCGTAGTACTCCACCTGGTTCTTTATTAGCTAGCAGAATTGCCATAGGTACAGTGCTAAAGGCTAACACTCCCCTGCCTCACAAGGTAGAAGGGGAATATTGACACACGGCAATGTATGCAGAACATCTTATATAATTTCACCACAAAAGCTCCATTCAAACCCTCCAGTTGTTTGTTATGGTCAAAGGCTAAAAGCCCAAGGGGGGCGGGGGGGGGGGGGAGACACAAGGAAAAGATTCAAGGTCATATTTACCCTTTGAAACATGGATCTAAACTACATGTTCAATGCAGTGAACATTCAAAGTTCCACTCCCAACCCCCACAACCAATTACCCTACAGATGATGTAAAATACATAAGTCGTCAGGCTAAGCAGGGAGAGCTCTTGCTGGTTTCCCAGGGTACATCTAACAAAGCATTGTTAATGTCAACAATAGTTTCTCTAGTAACTCAAACCTTCTCAAACCCAGAATGGACTATTAAAGCCAACAGGAAATAAAAAGAAAATTAATTGTATTCTATAGAGACACGATTGAACACATCTAGTCATCCAACAAGAATTTCATGTGAATCAAAGACTGTTTCTTTAAAGAGTTCCAACATCTTCCTATTAAAAAAAAAAAAAAGCAAACCCACGACCATGTTCAATTTTGCCAATTTTTTACTTATGCAACTAACTGGGCATTTTGTGAGAGCTAGACCAGAAAAACAATATTTTTACAAGCTTATTGCTTATACATTCAAGCTTCATTATATCACAATCATTCATCGATGGTCGGCATGGAGAATACTGTTGCCTTGTGCAATATGAATGCTAAAGAAAATATATATTCACGATAGGCCATAAAATACGTGACGATAGGATAGCTAGCTACTTGAATTGGTAAAGCCAGCGAGTTCATCTTTCTCCTCCCCTCCCCCCAAAAGCCCAATAGTTGCAAGAACACAAATCCAGCTTTAACTTGGAAACCACATTCTTAATTATTAATCTTCTTCATGCTAACATCCTTCCAAACTATTCTCTGCTAACCAAGGACTCTCAGGAAACCATTTGGCCTTGCTTATTTCTCTCCCTCCATCCAATGTATGTATGTCAGACCTGTGCATAACTTCAGTCCCTGAACTGTAGGGAACTGTGTGCTGTTGGGGCTGGGGGAGGGGCGGGCAGGGAACTTGGGCACCCAGAGCAGGCAAGTCTGAGGGGCACTGCGTGTGCCACCTGCCTAGGCATTCTTGGGGGCTTTTCCTGGGCGCCAGGTCAGTGGGAATTACAGAGCTTGGGAAGGAAACAAAGCTGCAACAAAGCCCTACGCGAGCCTCTTGGGGAAGGCTCTTGAGGACTTGCGTCGAAGGTGGCTGAAAAAGAGGGAGCTTTGGTCTCACGGTTATGATGTACAATTTAAGGAGCTAAGGGGGAGTCAGATCCCCAAAATGTCTCCACTCCAGGAGCCTTTTAAGATCCTTCCTCATCTACCTAGCCACAGGCACTCACTAAGCGCCCTCTTCTCCCAGGCTCTACAAGGGTGCAAGTAAAGCGAGCCACCCAAGGCGAGTCCCACTGGGTGTAGTTAGAGCTGTGCAGACATGCTCCGGGAACACGGAGGAAAGCATCGAGCTTCCTGGGACCCAACCCTCTTCCCACGCCATCGAGGGAGCCTACAGCTCACCCGACACTAGGCAGCTGAACCTAGGCAGCGGGTGTCCCAAACGTGGCGCCCTGGCGCCAGAGGGCACCCCGGGGAGAGAGATCACACAGCGACAGGCTCCCGGGGCTCGGTCCCCTGGAGCTGGGGCAGCGCGCACCTGGGAGCCAGAGCCACGGAAAATTCCCGGGTGGGCACAGCGGGGCGGAAGAGGTCCCGACCCTCCCGGCCAGTGTCCAGGTACCTCGCAGCCGTACAGCTGACCCAGTTGCTCCACGATCCATTCTTCCAGCACCAACCGCTTCCGAAGCTCCTTACGGTCGTATTTCACTGTCACTTTTCCCTGCTGGTGGCGTCGCTGCTGCTGTTGGACTTGCCCGGCGGCGGCCACCGTGGTCACCGGCGCCGAGTCCTCCCTTGAGGAGCCGGAGCCGCTGCTCGATCCTGGGCTGCCGCCGGTGCCACCGCGGGGACTCTGGAAGAAGACGCGCGCGCCACCGCCGCCGGCCCCGCCGGCCGCCTCACCGCCGCCAGTCACCACCGACATGTCCCCGCGCACCGGAGCCTGAGAGTGGCCCGGAGATGGGGCGGGCGAGCGCCCGGCGCCGCTACCACCGCGGCCCCGGCAGCCTCATACGATGGCCCGCACCTGCTCAGCGCGCCTAGCCGCTGGATCCGCGCGCAAGGAGGAGGGAAGAGGGCGGGCGATGAGGGCGGGGACCAAAGCCTTAAAGACGCCTCCAAGGACCCCGGTGCTCTAGCCCTAGAGACCGCCCCCGGCTTGGAAGTCGTCCGAGGTGGAGAATCTGTGCCCGGGGACAGACCCGCGAGGGAGTGTGTAGTCCAGGGAGGAGACTATCGTGGATCGTCTGAGTGGCAGGGGACAGTCGGTCCTCTACGCCGGCGTCCTCGTCTCTTGCCCCGCGAACTGCGCTTCTTGAGCAACCTTGGGGCGCACGAAATCTGTCGACTCCCCCAGTCTGGATCAGCTCTGTCCCATCGGGTAAAGGTCGTGGGAAATGACCGCGCTGAGGGATCCTCTCGCCGTGGTTCTCCCAGGATGTCTGGGAGTGTCTCCTCCCATCTCCTTCGGCCCCACCCCGCGGCTCCAAACACACATCCCTATTCACGCCATGACCACCACAGATGCCACTTCCTCTGTCGGATTGGGAAGAAAATTGACGAAGCGATGTTTGTGCAATCAGGCAATCAACGCGCCTGAGAAATTATTCCCAGAATGGTTTTTCTTTCCTCTTACCAAGCACCTGTTTCACCCTAAGCAGGACACTGAAGACTTGAGCAGCCAAGAGGGTGAGGGGCTAAAGCCATCGAGACCGGGAGCATTTCAGCTTTTGCTGGACTTAAAATGTCTTGTTGTGTTCCCAGCTCCGCCAGCTTTCCTCCCAGAGCCCTTTCTGAACAACCTCTCCCCCCTCATCCCCACCCCCACCTCCAGGAAGGCAGCTGCATTGACTAGCTTACTTGAAAAACATCATGCAACCAAGTAGAATGAATGAGCTTATTATAACGTTTAGGGCTAAGAGGTGGGATGGGGAATTATAAACAGAAAGGAGTGTGTGTGTGTGTGTGTGTGTGTGTGTGTGTGTGTGTTCGCGCGCGCACGCGCGTGTTGTGTATAAAATTACAGGGAGACACTAACATATCCCTGTTGTACATAACAACTCATTTCTGTTCAGATAACGGAAAGAAATCACAAAGGCATTGAGAGAGAAGTAAACAATGTTTAAAGTTGTTTTTTAAAAAAAAGCTGAAGGTTCACTGAAGCTCTCAGAGGAATGAAAGCTTCCAGTGAGTTTCCTCTGAGCATTTTCTACAGTGGAGAGAATGTTTAGGTGGTATTCTCCACTGGAAGAGGGGAACAGGAAGAAGTAACCAGTAGGTAGGACCCTGCATCACCCGCTGGCGCTTCACTTCTGCCCACATTCTCAGATGTCTTTGTTTTTTCGATGTGGGGTTTTCCAGCAAAAATGTGAGGGGATTTTTCCAGAGTTCCACTCCAGCAGCTCATTGGGAAGACACTGTCAGTCCTGGAAAGGTACAAATGAAAGATCATATGGAGGGTCTTACAATATGGTGGCTGAAGTAGGCCTAGAACTCTTCTCACCAGAAAGGAGTCAAAAACCTCGGAGATCAGATCTCCAGAGAAGACTAGGCCAGGAGTGCATTAGGTTGAATTTTCCTTCGAACCTAGAACCTATCAGAGATAAAGGAAACAAATTCCCTGGAGACAATGGCTATTCTATTCTTCATCTACCCCTGACTGACTTCTACGGTATGTCTGACTATCTTAAATCCCAGAAGCCGTAGCCAAGAGGTGAGCATCTTCACAAAATCAAAGTATCCACAAAGAGGATGTGGAGGAACCTCAGAACTCAACTGTGCCCCTACTCCCACCCCAAAGAGCTTGACCTCCCTCCAGAGAGCTGGCTCCTTGCCAAGTTCTCAGGACCAGCTTCCATCAACTGCACTAACCAGAGCTTAAAATCAGAACAGAAATAACTGAAATGTTACTGACTAAGGAGAAACTTAGAACGTTTCTGTAAGGGTCTGGTGCTGAAACCCTACAATACTAATTATTTTGAAGACTGTTGGTACCCTGAAGTAGGGCAAGCAGTGGGAAATTCCCACTTCTTGCTCTGAAACTTGGGACAATGAAGTCAGTCATCAGGGAAGGGCTTCAAAGAAGTCATGAAAATTCACAAAGTTCTTTCTCAAGAATTCTTAAGTCAATTCTTTCTTTCTGCATAGGATGTTTTGTCCTCGGTGGTTAAAACTCAGTTTTCACTTGAGACTTCAGATGTGACAAAAGGCACTGATGTCATTCACCGAACTTTGTGGAAAAATCTTCAGTAAGAAGGTGAATTCTCTGCATAGCCTATGATCCTCTAATGAGTCTCTCGGACTTACAAGTGGAAATTGAACAACATGATGTCCCCCTCTCTATAGAAACGGATTTTTTTCTAACCAGTACTTAACTGACATTGGAAGTGAACTCCACCGTCCTCTCTCCCCCCAAGCAAAAGCCTCATTCCACACTTGAAAACACAAACCTCCACATCCAGGTCTCTACAGACACTTCAAATATGGCTTTGTATATTTCCAAAGATGAAGGTGAAATGTATGGAAGTAAAGGAATTCTTTCCAGGCTGGGCCCTTTTTGCTAAGATGACTAGTTAAGCTTGTAGGCTTCAGCCTTAGAGAGTGCTTGTCTCACACTAGCAAGGCCCTGGGTCCGATCTCCATATCAAAGAAGGCAAAACTGAGAGTAAGCTCAGCAACACTGAGAGCTGTATATCTCTACTGTATCGATATACATATTATATATGTATATATACACACATACAGAGAGAGAGAGAGACAGAGACAGAGACAGAGACAGAAATACACACACACACAGAGGGGGAGTTAATAGAGTATATATATTAATTCTCTCCAGGCTGTGATAGTCAGCCAAATAGACAGTGGCTTTGAGTCTGGTTTCCACCTTAAACAATGAAGAAATCCAATCTGTGCTTTGGGTCTCTACCCATTATGCAGAATATTTTCAGTTCTCAGAATAAAACTAACGTCAACAGTGATGCTCCCAGTATACCAGTGTAGGTTTTCTTTTGATCTCCGTGTCATCTGTTTTAAACTTCTTCTAACTGTAAGCCTTTGATTCTATAATGCAGTCAGAAATTCCAAAACGAATCCAGTTATTACTTGTATAAATATCATCAGTCATTAATCACAAGTCTAAAATTTTGTCTCCACAAAAATCCTTCTCTGATGGCCCATACAAGATGAAAGGTGTGGAGGTAGCATGGGGTGGCGGTGGGCGATACATAGCTTTAACAATGTGTAAAAATCTCTCCTAGTCTAGTGACTCCAACTCATAGAATATCTTGTCCCACTCTAAAACAGGGCTCAAGTTTGTCTCTAGAGGAAGTTATGCTTCTGTCTAGACAAGGGCTCTTGTCGTCCCCCTTTCTCTGCTGGAAGAGTCATCCTTTCCCCCAATGTCTGTCTTTTCCTCCACAGTCTGGCTACCCTCCTTCCACTGGAAGGGCCCTTTACAAGGTTGCCAGCTAACCTCTCTCACAGAAACATTTCAACACCTGCCACACTGGGTGATTTTGATTTCCAAGTCTTCTCCTCTGAGGTCACTGTCCCAACTCCCTCCAGGTCTCAGCGGCCTGGCCTCTCTGTTGCTGCCTGTCAGCGGCTTTTGTGAGCTCTTTTCCCCTTCGAGGTAGGTGATTCCCAGATCTACACATGACCCAACCCTTGCTCATTATTTATGTCAACTCACACAGCAAATAGATTCTTCAAAGATGATGAGTTAATCTGGAGTAGCAGTGAACGGAAATACATGTAGGCACACTCAAAGAGGTTGCAGTAAGGGGGGGGGTGTTCTAAAAGGGGAATAGGAAATATTGCACACACTGTTTTGTAGAAATAATCCTTGGGCACAAGAACCAACAGCAAGTGTGGTGACAGCCCCAGACAGGGAGATGTGGGACAGGGACCATTGCAGAGATGGGTTTTGGTTTAGGTTGTGGTGGTCCTTGTGTAATGCTGTCATTTTGCCTAAACCACAGCTTCCTGCCACTTTTACTACCATCTACCTACCACAGACACCCCACAACAAGACTGAGTTGATCTCAGGTCCCAGCCCCAGATGGGTAGCACAGACATTCAGTGCAGAGGCACTGGCAAATATTTTTAAGGTGGATGAGTACTTTTATCAACTTATTAATAGAGAAAAACAAAAACTGCATAGTGAATGTTTGAGGGCAGATAGTCTCAGCAATGTTAAAAGTGTTCCAACCCAGTGTTTTTCAAACAATTTTTAAAGCCATCATCCCAATAAGCAACATACTTTTGTCGTGACCCATATATCTACGCACATATACAAAATTCTCTTATTGTATGTGATCCACTTTGACACTTCAGAGCTGATAATCTCTTCTGTTCTATTAAGAACAAAGAGTCATGGTCACAAATCACTGAAGTGATCTCCCAGTCCACTACAGAGACTGCAGCATGCCTAGCACTCTTGTTGACAGAGTGTGTCTCTAAGGTGCAGCCCAGCTCTCCTTCAGACCAGGCTGGTTACTCAGTCACTTGGAGGTTTCTTCCACCAATAGTAAACATTCTAGCAAGCAACTTTGACCCCAAAGGACTGACACAGATCACGTGCAACATCCTTCCAGACAGAGTTGTCATGAAAGAGCCAAAGAGGCGCTGAAGTGTGTATCTCAGTGGTATAGCACTTATCTAGCGTACATAAGGCTCTGGGTTCAAACCCAGCCTCCAATCAGTAAGTGAATCCTAATAATTCTGGGGTTTGTCTTTGTCTCTCCCAGACCTCTCCCCTCTCCGGATCTATTTGAGTCTTTCAGTCCTGACTGCCTTCCTTCCATTACTGCCTTTGCTTCCCCACAGGTTGTTAAATGCAAATATGATCATGTCATGCTGACTGAAACTGTGCTGACAATGCCTCCTGTAGTTTCCATTCCCTTCAGGCTACAGTGCCAGACAACCTGGCTTTGTGCACAGGCTTGTCTTGAGCTGGCTCTTGCTCTGTGTTTTAGTGTCCTCTCAAGATCACCGCCCACATGACTCTCAACAGGAAACGCTTTCAGCCTGCTTTCCCCTGTGACTCTGACCTGTCTCTTTCCCAGGTTCCCTTGTGTCCTGCCAGTCTTTGTTTCTCCTCAGCACTATCTCTGCTCTCATACCTTTGACAAAGTCCTTCCTGACTAGCCTAGTCTGAGTGAGATGCTGCTTTCATACTTGGCCATGGCCTCCATCCCTGTCTATCACATGATACCTGGGGAAGCCTTCATGTGATCCAGTCTCTGCTCAGATGTGCTTTCACCAGACAGGCCTTGCCTCTATACCCTCTGGCCCTTGACCACCTCTTTTTTTTCTTCCTCTTTCTTTTATCTACTTGGAATATATATATATATATATATGTGTGTGTGTGTGTGTGTGTGTGTGTGTGTGTAAAATGTGTGTGTGTGTGTGTATTTATTGGCACATTATCCCAGCAGAAGATATACTTATTCGTAAGGACAGAAAGTTTGGCGCTCACGTTAATATTTCTACTTCCTATAACTGCGAGACAAACAATGGTCCCTATATC